GCTGTTGGCTGTTGGGCGCTGCCCGCTCCCGCACCTCGCGCACGGTGATGTTGCGGAACTCCGAGGACAGGGAGAAGACGCGGAAGAGCTCGATCTCGCTCAGGGTGGGTTTCAGCAGCTGGTTGTACGTCTGCACCGTCTCGTTGGTGATGTAGTAATGGCTGGCGATGCGGCCCAACTCCGTCACCTGCCGGGACAGCCGCGATAAACCACGGGAACAGCCGGGATAAACCACGGAACAGTCGGGATAAACCACGGGAACAGACGGGATAAACCACGGGAACAATCAGGATAAACCACGGGAACAGCCGGGATAAACTACGGGAACAGCCGGGATAAATCCACGGGAACAATCAGGATAAACCACAGGAACAATCAGGATAAACCACGGGAACAGCCGGGATAAACCACGGGAACAGACGGGATAAACCATGTGAATGATGGGGAGAAAAATGGCCAGGAGAACAGTGAGAATGGCTGGGATAAACCACGGCAACAGTTGGGATAAACCACGGGAACGGCTGGGATAAACCTGCAGGAACAGTCAAGATAAACCACCGGAATGGCTGGGATAAACCACGGACACAGTCAGGACAAACCACAGGAATAGTCAGGATAAACTGTGGGAATGTCTGGGAGAAACCATGGGAACAATCAGGATAAACCACGGGAAATGGCTGGGATAAACCACAGGAATGGCTGGGATAGGCCAACAAGAACAGTCAGGAAAAACCATGGGAATGGCCAGGATAAACCTACAGATAAACCACCGGAATGGCTGGGATAAACCACAGGAACAGTCAGGACAAACCACGGGAACAGTCAGGATAAACCGTGGGAATGTCTGGGATAAACCACTGGAATGGCTGGGATAAACCACGGGAACAGTCAGGACAAACCACAGGAACGGTCAGGATAAACCATGGGAACGTCTTGGGAGAAACCATGGGAACAATCAGGATAAACCATGGGAACAATCAGGATAAACCACGGGAATGGCCAGGAGAACACTGGGCGAAACCACAGAAACGGTGAGGAGAAAAACAACCAGGAGAACAACGGGAACAGCCAGGAGAAACCCTCAGGAACCTCCCACCTTCAAATCCCATTTTTTTTCTCCTCCAAACTAAAAACACCAATTTTTTTTTGCTGTCCCACCTGGAAATTCCCGGTTTTCTTGTCGTACTTGACCAGGTTGTTCTTGTCGAGCATCAGGGCCGCGGTGTGGACGAGGTCGAGGCGCCGCTGCTC